TGAGAAACGATGTACAAATGCGCTTTACACAATTGATGTGTGTATGGATTGGGATAACAGTTGTATGAGCCCCTAATAAAATGTTAAAAAAGAAAAAAAAATAAATAAAGACAACATATGAGAAAATACTGTGTTCCCAGAGGAGTCGATTGGCCATTATAAAGAGGCTGGTTCCCTCCAGTGATTCTCCATATTGTAGTTTCATTCATGATCCCAACAGTTGACTCTTCAGCTATGTATAAGAATATAAAATAAAAATATATAATCCTCAAAAAAAAGAATATAAAATAAAACCTAATAAGTTTTTTAAACTACAAAAATATCCCCGTGAAGAGTGCTTAAAGGGAGAAAACATGGTGGAAGGATAATTACAGTACACGAGCCATTTTCCTTGAACACGAAGATCCCTTTCTGTTCCCTTCTAACACCCAGTAATAATGAGAATTACAAAAGGTGGGCGTCAGAGACCACAGCACATTTCTGACCGATAAAAAGAGGGTGGAGTCCTTCGACAGGTAAATTGAGGAAGCACTGATGTGCAGGATACATAGAAGGGGACTTCCATCAATCAAGAAAACTAACGTGAACTTAAAATCGTATGTCGGTCAAAGACAAGGGGCCCGGCAAGTCAGATCCCACCACATGTCCCCCAAAGCAGAGAGCCCACGGTGTTTGGTGAAGAACTGTGACCGCAAATAGTGGACTTACAGATTCATTTACAAGGTTGTTCTTACACATGAGCCGGCGCTACTCAGTGGACGGCAGAAGCACTGGCTCTTTTCTTGGCAGGCGGCTGCAACATCAAAGGAGAGGATGAGAGCTGGGACTTTGGCTCCGGGGCTGGATTTTATGTGGATGCCACCGAGGACCCGTGGAAAACGAACTACCGAATGTACTCTTACGTAACGCAGGAGGTAACGCACTCTGTATTGTAATTACTAGCTAGTGACCTCCCAAGAACTTGATTTTGAACACAAAGCCCTTCCAGTCTGAAAATTGTAAAGTAGGGCATGTTATTGTTAAACATATTTCCTACTTTTTAATTAATTCTTTCAAAGTGAAATAAAAAATTGTTTCCAATAGAAATTACTTCAAAGTGAAAATTTCAAAGTCTTGTTAACCATTTAAATTAATGCTAAGTGTAAAGAGTTTAACAGTTCTATTGAACTCTAATTTTAATATTCTGTCGTGTGATGTGTGCTTTTCTGATTTTGTATTTTCACATATAGTGTGCTGTAATCAGTAGTACCACACTGATGATCTTTATGTGCAGATTTCCACCCTGAGGACTTCTATTTTCCTAAAATGAAATTAGTAGGGTACAAATACAGGACATAAAGGTTCTACTCTATCTTGATATGATTACTCTGTAAGGAGGTTTGTACCGCATGTTCTTTAGTGACGTATGAATATGATTGTTTACTTGAGGGGTTTTTAAAAAACTTTGCTATACCAGTTCAAACCATTGTAGAAATGATATTTGGTTGTATAGTTTGTAACTTTGAAATTTAGAAGAAAAACCTCATGTCCCTTGTCACTCCTAAAATTCTTTCCAGCTCCCACAGCTCATAAATGCCAATTTTCCAGTGGATCCCCAACTGATGTCCATTTTTGGCCATTCTATGGGAGGCCATGGAGCGCTGATTTGTGCTTTGAAGAATCCTGGAAAGTACAAAGTAAGACTCCTGAAACTCCTGGGAATAAATCTATCTCCGTCCATTTGCAGTACTGAAACCATCACCTCTCAGAGCTTTCACTAGGCACGCAAGGACCTTCCAGAGATTGACAGTGGAACCTTGGGGTTTTTGTTTTCGTTTTTCACGGTTCCTTTTTATTATTATTATTATTAAAATATCCTTTGG